AACGCGAGCAGAATTTTGTTGTTCGCCCGTGTTTGCAGAACATTCGCCTAACAAAGCAAGCGATGCAATTAAGTTAAATAAGATTAATGCTCGGCGTGATGCTACAACTTCAATGGCGAGGCATGTTTCCGCCGGTCTGGTGCAAATTCGTACGATCGCCCGTACACGAGACAACGCGAGATTAATTGCATCGAAAATGCAGAAAGGGTTGCGCGTAAAAGGAAACAAGGCAGTTTTGTTCTGGATACCCTTTACTCGATATAGGGCTTATCCTATTTGCCTGCATCAATTTTGGAGATTCTATCGCCGTATCGGCGAATCCGTCACATTCCATGTTACCCTAGCGGTAGATACGAAAGTGTTGAAACTTAACTTTGAGACTTGGTATTTGAGCAAAAAGCTGTCGAGATAAAAGATGATTGTACCTAACGATATAACACTAATCCAGTAAAGAGATATAAAAAATATTTTTAGTAATAAAATTTCACCACTCAATATTTTCATTTTGACAAATTTAAGATGTGATACCTTGTATCGAATCGTACACTACTGGCCAGAAATTTGAAATTTTGCCATGTTACAAAATTCAAGAATTTCAAAGAAAATCAACTTCAAGTTTTTATTAAAACATTTTTGTAAAATGTTCATCGACTAAAGTAAGTTGTTATTGATATACCTACGTAGCAACAATTTAAAATAATAATAAAATTAAATCGCTGGTGTATATCTTATAAAAGATATATCATATTCATTGCTATTCATTTCTTCCTATAGAACAATTTCAATTTTTACAAAATATTTGATCGTGTGTCGTTTTTGTTGTTCTAACTTCGACGAGACTCAACTGTCGTTCAAAATTGTCATCTAATAACTCATCAAACGAACGTGACGTCCCACGACGATGTACTCTGTAAAAAAATCTCTAAGGCTAGTAAAAAAGTAACATGCCTGTACCCAGCTGCTAAACAGCGCGCTGCATCGTGTTCCGTCAACGCTTTAACGACCTCAACCCTATTTTCTAACCCTCGGCAAGCACTAAACGATCAGGACGTGAAACACGCGCGGCGGTCCCCCTGCGTTCAATGAACCGATGACGACTGGCAGCTGCAGGATTCTCAAGGACCTCCACCGCTTCTTTTTTTCAGCAACCCGAGCCCTCTTGACCTCGTGCCTCCCGTTTTCTTTTTCGCCGACATTACCATAAGCGGTAACCGATTTCCAAGCAGCCGAAAGAGACGACCTCCCAACGAAACTCGCGACACATACTCGTGAACTTTATTTATTGTCCTCCTCCTTTGACTTCGAAGAAACATCAAGGTTTAAACCTTGCTCAGCAAAAGTTTAGCATTTAGGAAAACAGCCAATGGGATACATTGATGATAGGAGGCTTGTCAGTAGAGATAACGAGATAGCGGAAATCGTAAATTTAAACAACTCATTTCCAAAGGGGAATATTTGAGAAACAGATGATAAGTACTGTAGCAATATAAATAATACAATTTTTTGTGACGTTTTATTGATTTCAATTAGTTTAGGGTTATCACCAGATACATCCTGCATAGTCGATATAGATTTTAAAATTTTCCTTCTTACAAATTTATGCGAGATTCTGTTGGTTTCAGCGCTATAGTTAAGGACTAGCATCGGACACATCCTGCATGGTCGTTACGGGATTCGAGTTAGGATTTACAATTTTCCTTGTTTGGAGCGGTAAAGTGTTGGATACCTCGAATCCTCGCCGATGGATTTCTCTGATGATAAGCTCCCCATTGATGTTCTACATCTCCTGATGGGCGTTGTCCTAAATACCAAACTGCAGTCTGTTGTTCTTATCCGTATTTCGCATCGTCAGACTCTTAAAAACGGTACGTGTGAGCGATACGGTGTTAGTAATTGCGATAGGATCGCCCGATTAAGACGTTAATTAAAGATTGACCGGCTGTTCGTTTTCTCTCGTTCGCGTGGAAGAACTCCTGGTGGGTTAATTAACTCGTGCCACGACCAACGTGGCCGGGTATTGCGCCTGGTAAAAAGCGTTTAAGGATTAATCATGACCCGGTAAGACGAGCTGCTCACCTGCGCGTCTTGGAAGCCTCGCAAACGACCCACGGAACATGCTTAAGTCGCGAGGGTAGTGCACTTCTTTGCATGCTAGAAGACTGGCAAAGCCAGTCGACGTCCTGATTTCTGGCGTCGCTAATGAAAGAGAATCTCTAATGCGGTTGATTGCTCGGCCGATCGCTACCCTGCACTCTGATTACTTTTTTGCACCCAATGAATGTTGGATTTTTTTTTGCCTTCTATGATCGAGCAATGAATATTTTATTTTCAAGAAATTTATGAAGAATTCGTGAGCTTGTTCGTTATTCGGTATTTTATCTTTCGGTATTTGCTGAACAGAAGATTTTTAGGAATAAAAATTATATATTCTTTGAGAGAACCATGACTATCAATTTACAATTATTGTTCATTAAAATTAGTCCTATCAACTGTAAGAAAGTTATCAATACAGATATGTAAAACATAGTCATTTTCCTCTAGTTTTAGTAAATTCGTATACCTGTTTTTGTATATAATTTAAGCAATGAAGAGACTCAGTGCAGTCATCTCTTATTACAAATTGTTCACGATTGTTTAGATGAATCAAATGCATGTTATATCTCGTACAACCCTTATTCAAATACAGATATATTATTCGAACACCAATATCAAAATCGATCATACGATCTGTCTCAAAAAAATGTTTCCCAATATATAATTCGATTAGCATTTACGAGACGATCGTTTAGGAGCATTCAGTCCGAAATAGTACGGTTATAATGTTTTGACGGTGGTATAGACGTCGCGTACCAAACCGGCGCATCGACTAATCGGCATTAATGCGATAATAACGTCGAGCTGCAATCGTACGTGCAATTGAACGACCGTCGATAATCCAATTGGACTTTACACCAATTGGATGTTCCGATGGAAGCGCGGCCGGTCGTTTAATCGACGCCACCGTATATACATCGTTGTGGTTTTGTTTCCATGGTTGGACGCCTGAATTCATGCCACGATAGTAATCTACTGGTTGGTCGTAATTGCTTAATTAGGTCAGCCGGGCAAAAAATAAGAATGGGATCATCGACGATTCTCCGGGAACATACAAATTGTCGTTGATGTCACCGAAATATCGTTGGTATGCCGCTTCTATCGGAATATTACGGTTAATCTCGTGGTGAGCATGATCTCCGCGAATGAAAAACAAGATTATACGCTCAACGATTGCGACACTATCGGGATGTTCCCTTGATATAACCGTTTAAAGCGGATGGCTTTAAAACGAAATTACTACGTACTTTTCTCTCTTTTCGTCGTTTATCTAAATTCCAATATCGACAGTTTTTATAATGAAACGCTGACAGCGGGTAGATTTTAGTATGCAACAGGTTAAACGTGAATTTTTCCGAAAATCTCTGCACGTTCACGTTGATCCGTTCTGTCAGTTTCAACGTAAAGAGATCCCATATAAATCAACTAATTTCTCATCGAACCCTCCTGACCCAGAATCAAATTTCACTCAGCCATGCGAGTACAATGCCACTATAGTGAAGGGTTGCTCTACTCTATTTCGGCTCCACGATTGAGTTCAATCGGATACAACTCGAACGTCCGATAGTCTCTTACGAACAATGATGTGCATTTAATTGTACGCCTTTAGGAACACGTACATCTAACACTATACAGGATGTTCGTATACGTTGTCTGTACTTAGATTTCCAGCTATCCATACTAAAAATTGAAAAAGAAAATTTACTATTTTCACATTTCCCAGGATTTGCTTTTATCGATGATTACGTTTTAGGATTTGCCTATCTAAATACAAAAAGCGAATATTTTGTAATAACGAAATAATAAATAACGGATTTTTCATTAAATAAATAAATATTCATTTAAAAAATGAATTAATTTTTAGAATTTGTCCATTCAATGTAGAAAGTGAATGTCTATTAATTTTTTTAATGAATTTATAACTCCTGATGGGATAAAATAAATTGTAAGGAAAGAAGTGAGAATCATACACAAGTGTATACGATCTCAAGTTTTATAGGTTTCATGTGTTACATGGAAATGTGGTTACTGCCGGATTCGATCGGTGATACATTCAGGACGATGCAGGAAAATACTAACTCAATTCTTCGGTGTATATTCGGGGATAATCCGGTCGTCGCACGTCAGAACGTGGTCGTCTACGAATTTCGATTTTTGTCCCGAATTCTAATTCAAAACCTCGACTCGGAGATTTCCTCAGTCTCTATATAGGACAGGTGAAATGTTACTGGTCCAGAGAAGCAAGGGACCTCTCAAGCTTTATTACGAAGCGTTTCATCGGATGGCCTCAAACTTTTTTACACAACTTTCCCTAAAATTAAGTATATCCTCAAAATAAGAACACAACTCTTTGTATCATAAAATGTAGCTTGGCAATTTTCATTTATAAATTAAATCCTAGCAATTCCTATCTATAACAGTTTAGAAAAAAAGCTGTGAAGTTTGAAGGAATTAAAAAATTGTTTTAATAGCAATTCTTTTAATAAGAATTCTGGAATTTAAATTAAAATCTTTTTTATCCTGTAACAAGCTAGAAGAAAAGTTCTGAGATTACAGGAAACTAGGAAAGAAACCTAAGAACCTTTTAGCTTAGTAAGATCGCAGAACTCTAAATTAAATTCAAATAATTTTTGCAACATGTAGCAATGTAAAAAAATATTCTCAACTTCAATGAAATTAAGGAAGCAGCCCGGTAGCCTAGTAGTTGTTTAAAGATTTCTATCACGCGCACGATATTTCAAGTGAATCAAACTGACCATCGCATCTGGCTTCCCTCGTGCACCAAGTTACACTGGTATTTTGTGAATCGCCGACCCGGGGCACGTTCATTCATGCCTCAAATTTGGTGGCCTTTGAAACGGTTTGACGGATGTGAGGGAATCGATAACAGGGTCAGAGCTACTTACCGCGACTTGTTGACTGTTAGTTGGACTAGGGCTCGGACTGGGTGTCGAATTCGGGGTTGAAATTTCTCCTGACGTGGGAGATACCGAGCCTGCGGTGACGGGGCCAACCGTTGGAAACGCTCGAGCCGGATCTGCCTGCCATTGCTTATGGATTTGCTGCGAGGTATCCCGGAATCTAGCACCCTACGGATAAAGCAGCAAATCGTTAAAATTCTACAAACGATTTACGACTAATAAAATGCGCTAGAATATCGAGATTATTCTAATTATCCTAAACCAAAGTAAAAAACAAATAAACGTGTCTTTAATTAGACGATATAAACCCGTCTCCTTTACAGCATCGAATGTATCTTAGTCGGAAAATTCTGTAGTTACAGTATTAAAGTCAATTAATTACCGAATTAAAAGTCAAAATGTTTTAACTAGTTTTTAGTCCTCGCAAATGTGCGTACTGTATAACACATTTTTAGCAGAAATCAAACTACATATGTAAAAATATAGTGTTCCTTTAATTTTGTTTAATCTGAGCTGTAATTTTAAGTCCGTAGTATAAGAAAGATTTACTAATCACGAATTCCATGTATGTATGTGAAATATTCGAACGTTTTGCTTCAGGTGTAGTGTGATAGCAGAATGTATAATATAATCATTGGAAGATAATAAAGCAAGATGAGTTAAAAGTGTCGTCAAAAATGACGAATGTTAAACATGCGAGCCCTCGAGGAATCAGACCGCATGAATCGTTTACGCACACCTCTATATATCGTAAATCGTACGATGACACACTTCGATTAGTTGCGGATATTTGCCTTCGAACAATTGTATCGTGAACGATCGCTCGGCACGGTCCAGTGAAAAACTGATTTCGAAAGGCGCATTCATCTACGTAGTCGTAACCGAAACGAACCTCTCCCAAATGAATTACCCTAATACGAGAAATCCTTAAACAAGAGAAAACCGTATATCACGCTACTTCGAATTTCAAAGGTGTTTAAAATAGTCGTGTTAGTTCTTTTCTTTAAACTCTGCCACGATTCTTCTAGTTCTACGTCTTGGTGACGTCTCCTTTTCTCAACAAACAAGGAAAGTTTTAAGAAATGTTTTAAAATACAACATATAAAAATATAATATAAAATAAAATATATCTTTTTAGACATATATATTGTTTGCAAACTCAAGATATTTTGTCATTCTTCCTCTAAAGTTAATGATAGAAAAATATAATTATCTCGAAAGTAACCTAAAGGATATAATAGCCTCGCAGAGTTTTCATTTCAAGGAAAATTTTGATATTCTTTCGTATTTTTTTTACGAGAATGAACTACGGTGTGCAAGAGGATTGAAGAAAGCAGCCTGAATGTAATTAATGTAACAGATTTGGTATTTCTACTGTTAAGGAAGCATGTACTTTATACCTTGCGTGGAGGTTTAAGGGTTTCAGATATTAAGAAACAACGAAGGATCGCGTGCCACGGTACAGCACGGCCAAGAGGAACATCGTTGCTCGTAGTACGGTAATTACAGTTACGCAACAACCTGCTATAGTAGCGATTAGCATAGGAGTATAATGGGAGGCGTAAGTGGAGCTACTTGGTGTACACCACACGAAAATAAAAAAACACAGTCGTTTCTCTCTCGAAGGCTCTTGAAATAAAGTATTTTTCCATAGCAGGATAAAGAATCGACAGCGTCGAGAAATCCTTTCGTGCCGCGTCGAAATTAATTTCACGACGAATGAGGATAATTCACGGGCCGGCGCTGCGTTTACCCTTAAAATTACGAGCACAATGTGCGCAATTTCTTCCATCGCGCCGTGGTTAATTACGCGTGGAATTGCACCGCCCGACGAAAGAAAGAATCGCGGCCGCTGTTTTTCTACCAGGTTAAATACACCATACAATTCAATCTTCTCTAAATTCTTCGTGCGTTTTTATTCCTCTTTCCCTTCCCTTTTTGTTCTTCCATATATCTCTGCCTTTTTTCATCCCCCCTTTCTCTAAATAGAGGTGTTAACCTGAAACGTGTTGAAATTTTGGAATATGAAAATTAAGAGTGGAAAAAAAAAGAAATAATCGTTCGTGGCTTGTTATTTTATTCGGAATAAAACATATCTCGTGTTTCCTTCCTTTCTGTCGAGTTGTACATGAATTTCCATACGCGCGCTTCATTAATTCAACAACGACGGGACTCGTTTAAAAATCCAATCTTCACGCATGTTTTTACATGCAGAAGAGTCTCGCGTTCGTTTCACCAGACTTCCATGCGAAAGACGATCAATCTTCCTTCGTATTGCATTTGGAAATGAGCACGATCTTCCGACAGAAATAAATCCTGCGTTTGAATCGTATAGAAACGACATTGTGAATCTTTCTTGAATTAAATTTCCGGAGATTTGAAACACGAATATCGAAATTTACTCTGATTAAATATTATTTTTCCAATTTCTGCGCTTGATTACAAACTAAAGCACGTTCGTTATTCCTCGTTTAGTCGTAATATATCTCGGCTAAGATTGCCTTTTCTTAGTATGTATCTGCAGCACTGTGCAAGAGCATTAGATTATCTAGCGCAAATGAAACTGTTTTACTTACAGAAATTAAAGCTGAGTAGAAGAATGTTATTGAATGGAATTTTACAGGATAGAAATTTACTTCTATCGTTAACGTTTTACTTCCAACATTTCTATTGATTCTTTCCAATTCCATCGGAAATTCTTCCTTTTAGGGAAGATTAAATCCAGAAAATACTAATTGTATCGTACAATATGCAAAAATATATAAAATACCTAGAACACCGGAATTACCTTTCAGCGGAGTAGAGTAACTTTTGATAAATGTAAAAAATCTCTATTTACAAAATATCTCTTTAGTTATATCCAGAAGGAAAATACAAATTTGCGCAAACATTCACAATTTATAATACTTGGCTCGGTGCTCTATTCATTGCAATATTTTCAACAAATGTATGACCCAGAAAAAACCACGTGAAATCTTCAACATCTTGAAAATTCTCTTTCATACAATAGAGAGTGGAAACCTTCCCGAAACTGAGTTCGAGACTATTTGAGTTATGACTGTTGCACAGTACGCAGTATGGTATATGTCTCGACGATGGTTCGTAAATGCGGTACGTTTATCTTCTTCATGATATTATGGCGAAACGAGCGCGAACAAACGTACGAATTAGAGGCTAACGGGAGCCGCGATTGAACCTCTCGTCTCTGGCAACGAACCTCTACAGCGTCGAGTGATCCAGCACGATCGAGATCGACAGATATATTCACGGTCTGTACGGTATCGATCCCGTCGATCGTGAGGGTCGCTTACTGGAATACGGTACATCGCGTTTACACCGGCTACGATTGCTTCTCGTGTAAATAAAGGCGTGGTTTTAATTAAGCAACAAGGAAGTAACACAGGGAGGGTATAACACGTGCAATTACGTAACGAGGAAATATAATCATGTAAGAAGGTACATCTTAGACGAAATACAACTACGTAAGTCGGTGTGTTTCATAGGTAAATGCAAAGTCGATAAACTAAATGCAAAGGCAAACGAACGGTAATTATGACACTTTCAGAGATTACGATTTCTACTCGGGATTATTCCAAGACTCTGCGATATAAAGTGTTCATGGTAACTGCGTAGATTAATAGGATGCAGTGAGAAAGAACCGACTATTCCAAGAAAGCTCTTCGAACTGGTCCAAAAGTTATCACAGCTTAAGTTATCGTGTGTAACTTTGTAGTGTCGCTACGGTTCGGCGATGACGTTAAGATCGTATCTTGTTAAATTAGAACGAGCATACATAACAGTTCCTGCCAGACGAATTGACACGCTGTTTTTTTTTTTTTTTTTTTTTTTTTTTTTTTTGGTTCTTCTTTATACAGGAGAACGTTTTTACGCTTTACAGCAGATCGAACGAGACACCGTGAAGAAGCTAAATGCTGAAGTCGCATGTATGCGTTTAAAGATAGTTCGCGAATTATAACTTAGCGAGCACGAAGGTACATTGTACAAAATGTTACTTACATCTATTACATTATAAACATATTTACATCGATCAGTCAAATAAATATTTCCTCTTAGTCTTTGCGTATTTAACGATGCTAAGTAATTAGCGATCGAACAGCAACGTCCGAATTTCTTAGTATCTTACTAGAATATGCAAAGTTCCTTCTCAATTTAGAGAGACACATATTGAACTAAGGTCTGCGTTGAATTAGTTACAGATCTGAATGTGGAACAAATAAAAGTACATATTTTCATAAGAAATAAATAAAAATCGGTGGTGCTACTTCGGAAGTCTCGTCGACAATAATTTGAATACCAAAAGCTCTGGTAATTGATTCCCAAAATTCATTAGATGCCTCACGCTCGATAATTTCTTTCCCGATTACCATAAACCTTATAACCTCGTTCTATCTTAAATCCATCAGCTTTTTAAATAACACGAACGTACTAGACACGTGTCCAGAAAGTCCTGAAACCAGCGTTACATAAAAGTGCACTACAAACTGCATGTTAAACTAATTCTATCCTCGTTCTTATCGTTCCACTCGCTCCACTTTCAGTCACTCGAACATAGTTGTCCTCTGCGTTGCTCGGTATGCAATTACGTCAAGCGTTACAGCCACGAGCTTCGGGGTTCGAGCCGGTAAAAAATTAATTGTCTCTAATCCACGCTGTCGTTTGAGCAACGACAACAAAGATCACTCGTGGCATCGGGCGAAACGAGCAAAAAGATTAGTCGAGAGCTTCTCGTTCAGCTGCATAGGCGTCAATGCGATCCAATCAATTTCCCTGTTGCTCGTAAGTCACTCGACCGTGTTCCTCCACGCGCATATATCGACATACGAGTGTCCTTGTGGACGTGTTGCGCGAACAGGAATTACGTGATAGATAACGGTTAATCTTACAGCGTGATCTCAATGGCCAGATATCGACGTTGATAAAGGAAAACACGAGACCAGAAGAAAGAAAACGCGAGACCAACTTTTTCCTGGACCAATGTTTGACGCGATCGCTTCACACGATACGTTCCGTCCGGTTTACCTAATTAATTTAAGGGAAATCAGCATACCGTGTAATCGATTTATCACCGGAAATTTCAGTTCGTTACATATTGTGTTGGATTATTATTAATTGCCATGGGTAGATTAGAAACGCTGCCGAAGATATCTCGGAGTCAATTAGCCGATGCGTCGTTCGAGAAAAAGTAGATACAAGATTCCGATAGGAAAATATCACTTATCGAAGACCGTAGGAGTTCCCCGTGACGCGACGCGTTTCATTGGATAGAGCGTAATTACGGGACGTTTAAACTGAAATTGATTAATGATCGTGGCCGCGACTCGCCACTAATGCGCGATCGAGCTCTCGCTCGAAAAATATCGCTCCAGCATTTAACCGTAGGAATTATTTATCTACGATACCCTAGCCTTGTTCCGGCTGAAACATCAATTTGCATTCTTTCGATGACGTACAAGCCACGTGGCTTAATGGCTGCCTGCAAAAACACAGTGACCTCAAGAGTATGATATACTGCCGTGCTATTCAGGTTTATGGTTCACGTTATTTTTTTTAACTAGCTACCAATCTTTTTATTATGCCGACCAATTTTCTCTATCTACTGACTCTACGTAAGGCTCTAGATAAAACTAAAACGCCTAAAACGCTTAAATTACGGTTTAAATCGAGCTCATGTTTCTAAATAAACAATTCCTAATAAATTCCAGCTAAACAAAACTTATTGACTATTACGATGCCTGTTTTAATACCTCGCTAAAGAGATGATCCAGCTCTTTTCGTGACAGCTTTGCCTTCATCCCGCGAGCATTCCTCGCATCGAACTTGCCCAGAAGCCAACCGAATTACTCAGACCGCTCGATCTTGAACCAAGACGAGACGGAACTTCTTTACAAGCCTTCTTTAACAGCCACTGTTGTTTTCTGCTTCTTCTCTTTTTTCGTTTAGACCTCTCTGTCGCGCTCTCAGAACCCGCTACTTCTTTTTAGATACACAAATAGTCGATGACGCGAGGCGAAAAATGCGACAGAAGGTCGCAAGCTAATGCCCGTATCGCACGATCGGTCTGCGCTTTTCGTTCGAGTCGACATAGTCGCGTCGACTGGTCTCGTGTCACTGGCTCTCCCTTCTCTCTCCGATCCACGGATTGGCTCGATAATAATTAACGAAACGTCGCATCGACGACGGAACGCGTCACGATGGATTCTGCAAACGAAATCGACGGATATGACCAATCGTCGCCGCTGAAACACGAGCACGACGAATTATATTCCGTCCTTGACGAACATGTCAGGGACTCGAAGAGGCAGTTGCATCGCAATTTTTCGCTCGTCCGCAATTCCACGCCCTAAATTCGCGTGACTTCGCGCAGATAGGCCAGCAGGTCCTTGCGAAAGCGATATCGATTCGCCGCGTGTCCTCTTTCGCTGTGAAACGGCCGCTTTTACCTCCCGATGAAAACGCTCTGACGAAGCACAAACGTCGAGTGCCGATCTAATCCAAGTATTCGATGATCTGCAGATTTTACATGAACGTGAATAATACAGGTAAAATGGAGTTACAAGGAGATGAAAGGATGATCGGGAGATCATACGCGTAATACGAATGTAATAATCTTATTGTTATCGAAGGAATCGAAACTTTCCTGAATTCTTGGCGAACATCAGGTATCGTAGAGAAAAAGATGATGGATTTGTGTGAGAACAAAGCAATGATTGAGGGGACATACGCGTGTAAATTAAATTCGATACCTGCATCGTTACTCGAGGATGAAATATTTAGTAATTTCACGATGAATCGCGAAGGCGAAAAATAGACTCGTGAGAAAGTGGAACGATAGTACTTGGGAGATTATGTGCGTAACGTGACAATCCTATTTCCGTCGAAGAAAGTGAATTCTGCTGGAATTTTTTATCCCACGAATCATAGACGCGATGAGAAGATAATCGAGAAATTATATTTTTTATAAGTCGAAAGCGCCGATTCTACTGTCATTGAAAAACAAATTATTCTGGAATATTCATGGTAATATATAGAGGCAGAAGAAATATACGCTCGCGAGAATACGAAACGATGATCGGGAGATCATATGCATAACGCGAGCGCGATCGCGATGGTCTTATTGTCATCGAAGAATGAGGTCTTCGAGAATTTTTCATGAACACGATGAATTGTAGAGGCGGAAGAAAAATGATCTTGCGCGATGATAAAACTATGATCGAAGGAATACATATATCGAACGCGACAACTACCGTTGTTGGAGAACGAAATATTCGGGAATTTTTACCACCAACTATAGAAGTGGTGGAAAAATAGACTGCGGAGGAGATGTGAACGATAATCGAAGAAGTATCAGTGTGTAACACGAACGTAATAATTCCATCGTCGTCGACGAACGAGATCTTTAAGAACTTTTCATAAACGTGTAGGAGAATGGACCACAACTAGTGTGAAATGATCGATAGGTTTCGTGTACGATATAAGTACCATAATTTTATTTGTCGTTGAAAATTCGGATTTTCGAAAACTATCCACAATTCCAACGAATTGTAGATATGAAGCAAGATGAACTAATACAAAGATGAAACGACAGATTATGTGTACAACTCGTATACAATGATCTTATTATCGCCATGATAATAATAATGTATGGAATAATAATAATAATAATGGAAACATGAACTCGTGCGAAGGTGAAGGACTATGTGTGTAATTCGAGTGTGTAACAATCTTATCATCCAGAAAGAATAAGATCTTCGTAAACTTCCTCTCAATATAACGTATTGCAGACGCAAAGAAGAATTGGCTGAGCGAGAAGACGAAACGATGATCGATGGATTATGTGCGTAACTCCATTGTCGTGTAAGAGCGAGGTGTCCGGGAATTCGGCAAGAGTTTAATTAAATTGGATCGATCCCTCACCAGGGAATTCCAAGCGTTCGATCCAATCTGCTATTTGGAGACCCTGTCAGCCTTCCAACGTAACTGGTCTCAACGCCCACGCGAAATTACCAGTCTTTCCTTCCCACCCTTTTCCCTCTCTTTCTCTCTCCTCCCTTAGACCGGTAACTTCCGCCGGTGGCATCTCGTATTTCAGACCGGTACTGGATTTCGATCTGCCAGCCATTGATACCGAGGACGGCGTATAAAACGTGTATGGTTTCTCAATGACACCGGAGAAATCGGTATGATCGAGATTCTCACGAGTTCGAGCTGACCGATTCTCGTTCGGAGATTCTTATCGATCTATCCGGAGATACTTTCTGCGGTATCGTTAATCTGTCTCGTAAATTCTCCAATCTGTCCGTGAGTATAGACAAATAAATGATCGAACCAAGCTACGCCACACACACGCAGGAACGAAAGAAATTCGTCCAAGAATTCGTGGAATTCTTTATATTGCCCACCGCACTTTAAACGGAAACTTTCAGTCCTGGACAGATACTCTTCGATGATATCGAGTTGTCTGGAGAGCAGAGCCAGCTATTTCATTTTGAGTAGGATGTTCTACTTTTAGTTCCGCTTCTAGATCGTTTTGTCGAATTTCTATTTGTCGCGCAAGCTTCTCGAGGGAAACTTTCATCTTTTGATACAACGTGCATTATTTCTTTCAACCTCTTCTTTGATACCGGAGACAAATTACTTTTTCAAAGATTCACTGTTTCCTCTATAGTCGGCCATGATCATTCGTATATCAAACGTCACTTTGAAATTTCTTCATATCGCGTTTCATAATCAAGATTTGCTATGAAAAACGTTCAGGCTTGTAATTCCTTGTTCTCGAGAAATTCGTAACTTCCGAAGAGTTTGAAGGGAACTTCGATTTTACATCGATATAATATTGGTTACTTTCTACAATTTTTTTCCAATATCAAAGAACAATATCCTTTAAAAAGTTCTGTATTTTCTTCCACCAACTATAATCATTAGATCATCAAATACCAGCCCCTTTCTCGTATAAAATTTCACAGTCGGGTTTCACCTCAGAAAACAGTTGAAACTTACGATTCCCTATCCTAAAAAGATTCCGGTAATTTTAACCAATTCGAAGGAAACTCGACTTTCTCGATACAATGTAGAGTATATATAGATTACTTTCCTCAATCTTCTCCAGAAACAATACGCTTTAAAAAATTCTTTACTTTCCTAGCTACCAATCACGATCATTAGACCATCAAACACCAGCTGCGAATTTCTCATATCAAATTTCACAGGCTTCGCTTCTAAAATCACTTTGAACCTTATATTCCTTGACTCAAGAAAAGGGTTCCGAGCGAACCCATAATATGTAATATGCGAGAATTCTTCTGGGTTTTTTGATCGTCGTCTTGCAACGGCGGCGTTTGCACGTTCTAAACTCGCAAAGAGATCCACGTGAGAACGAAGCCGGACATCTCTTGGCCGCATAGCTCGAGGGAGGATAAACGACCTCTCGCTCGGCAGAGATCGAGATTGCACCGGCGGCTGAAAAGCTCGCGATATCTCGTGTACGGTTCTAATTTAACCGTTGGATGCCGTTTGTTCTCGGTGACAACGGCTTTGTCCCTTCTGCAAGAAATTCAGGTTACCCGGGTCGACGTGGTGGTGGCTCTTCTTCCTCCTCTCTCGACAAAGCAGAGCCAGGAACCGATCGTTTGGCTTCGTTTCGCGATACGCTGGCTTCACCTGCGCGCGCCTTGCGTGCTATAACCCGTTTCTCACGACGTTATCGTGCCACCGCGGGCACCCACGTTTCCCCGATAAAACAATATCGCCGTGTGGCTTTTTAACGAGCAACACAGCGGCAACTTTTATTTCGTGTCGTCGGTTCGTTGCGAAATCGACGCGGGCCGCCGAGGAACAATCGAGAGTTTCGTAACACGCGCGCCGCGAGCATCTGCACGCGTCGTGCGGTGAATAAACATCGACGTGGAAGTGTACGTTGTCTGCCACCGAAAGCAGAATCGAACGTTTCCCCACGTACGAGTTTCTACTTTGAAACGTAGATGTCTGCTTCAGCCATTTTAACACTAGAATTAACGACGGCTGAGAAGGGAATTAGAATGGAGTTATATGAAAAAAGAATGTACAATAAGAGGGCCTCCTCTATTTTATGAAAGATAATGGAAATGTCTAAAAGAAACCAGCGTTATAAATCCTAACACTTCCTTAAATATTATAACACTTGCGGTAAATTGGTTTGAAATTTTCCCACTGCGATTATGACAGTCGTGTTGTATTACGCTGTTAATTAAATATCGCGAGGTTTTATATAACGCGCATAGCATATTCATAAAAGTGTTCTGCGGTAAGAGTTCGAATATTTCCGTGGTATACGAAAAATGATAAATTGGTTGTTTTCGCTAGCCTGAAAGTTCTAACGTTAATGGTACGTGACGCATTAGATTCTAAGATAATTTTGGAATCTCTGAGTACGCGTGCCCGACGATCATTGTAAATTCACGCGCGTCTTTCTTGACAAGGTCGCGGTTAAAATTTACGAGGTTAAAAAAAAGCACATTGGAAAATGTAGAACCTACCAGTGTCGGAGCGAATAACACATCATATTCAACGTTGCCTCAACTTGACGCTCCATTTACGATATTTGTTCTCCTCTTGGACAATTTGCATCATAAGTAATGCTTTCTAACGTTGCAGGTATGAGAGGATTTATTCAATATATTTTATGAAGTTTAAAAAAGTTTAAGAACACTTATGTATGATATGAAGATTACTATGATAAATTATTTCTTTCTAAAACATAGAAATTTTTCTCTCTGATTATTTTAATAAATTTCTCGTACCTTAAAAAAACAATATTAAATTGCAACGATCTAAACCCTTAATGGGTTACAGTTGAATTACTTTACAAGAACCTAAAGTACCTACGACAAGCTCCGAGACGTCAAGATTGCAAATTAGTCAGGCAGATTACGCAGTATACTTTAATCTGCTAGAAGTGACTAAGCCGTTTTATCCAATTCCACCAATATCATCACACATGAATCTACGTTACTTTCAACAGCGTGTATCTTATCAAACATTCGAATCTTCGCTTAACAATGGTCGATGAGGTTGAAAAAGAAACAAATCGTAACTTCGTCAGAGTGATTCATCACGGGAGACCGAACACTAAATTCTCGATCAAATAGAACGATTGAGTATCTCGTTCGCGAGATGAGCAATCGATGGATCGTTTGACGCGCGTACACGCGAAAACACGCGAAATGAACCGAGTTTCACACGAGCTCGAAGACGGAACTGTACGCTACGTGCTCCCGCATGTATCCGCGTACTACGACTGGCGAGCAGCAGATCGTGGAGCGCACGATCTGCTTCATCATCAACTCGTCCTCTCGTACGAGCCGGCGATATTCTTCGTAAATATTTATCCATCGCTCCGGGAGATAAATCTGTACCAACTATCTCGTATAGATATCGTAGCCAGGGAGCTTGCAACTTCCTTAATTTCTCAGTTTTCGCCGCACCACCGACGTACAGAACAATGAAATTTTTTACGAGTGACGTCACGATGCTAATGACGCAGCTTGCCGGTTCAGAGATCGACGGATCGGCTTAATTGAATTGAAAGCTCCTGCAGAGTGCTCGATTTTAATGGCGCTCTCTGGTGGCCGCCCCCGTGCCCCTCTTCAAATGCAATTTAATTATCGTGGAACGTTGCCCGCTCGTAAAAGCAAACGCACCGAGAGTCTCTCGCGAGGACTTAACGAAACGACATTTCGAACGAGCGTAATTCGATCAAACGGGGCCAATTTTACCGACACAAGGGTTAATCGTTCACCGACACCGTTCGACGTTTGCAAATCTCCGGCCGACACTTTTGGTTCGTCGATGAATCAACAGCCACTCATGTGGACCTGTGATGTATAAAACGAGCGGGAAACGTATAAACATCGATATTGGAGACCTGGTATTGAAGATCGGGTAAACTACAAGCACAGCACATCGACGTGAATATCACATTTTCGAATGGGAGCGACGCGAAGTGGCAGGCTACGGTTAGCTGGAACTGGCAATTTTCCGCTACTACGGAAATGTCCGTGGTCTCGAGACCTCTCACGCGACGAACGTGCGCTTACACGTATGCGCGTACCGCAACTGGCCGACCGCGCGAAGATCTCGCGGCACAAGAAGCTAGACAGACCGTGTGTCGCATGTGCCGTTCCCCTGGTACACGCGGCCCTCCTCGCTCCAACGACCTCTTTGTCGTGGATCACTTCGTTGCGAATGCAGATCGCATCTATATAGCTCTTCCTCGTTGAGTTTCTCGCGAGGGAATCGAAATTGAACTAGAACTCAGTAAACGAGAACAACTGCAGTCGTTTTGGGTGCTCAACTGGGTGTACTTTTACGAGAAACTTAACCGTTATAAAGGAGAGTTTTTGAGAAACTTCCTACGAACTGTTCCATCGTACTATGGTGCATGTTA